CACACACACAGATGTTAGGTTTCATTTCTAAGAACCCACTATTGAAGAACATAACAGAGTATCTTGTTGATGAGGGTAGCTATGAGGAGGAAGCATTACTCGATAATGCTGGCAGCTATTGTAAGTCTTTGTAAATGTATGTATGTTTGTTTGTGTGTGTGTGTGTTTATATATATGTGTGTGTATGTTTTGTGTGTGTATGTTTTGTGTGTGTACGTTTTGTGTGTGTAAATTATGTGTGTACATTTTTTTTGTACAAGGGGATGAATATGACGAAAGGCCAAAGCCAGCGCACGCTGAAGTTTTTATTGAGAAGGATGTTAATATGCTAAAAGTTAGTTGGTTGATTGGCTGGTTGATATGCTGGCTGGTTTGTTGATTGATTGATTCATTGTTTGGTTGACTGGTTGGTTGGATGGTTGTTTTTATAGAACCTTAATGAACTAGGTATAGCTGATCCTCTGGTCTGGTGTAAAAAGCTGACGTCAAAGAAGCAGCATTCTACACCGGATTGTTTGATTGATTGTCTACTTGATTGAGCAGTTATCCGGCTGATTGGATTATCACTCTCATCACATAATATCATAATAACATCATAATTTTCGTTATTGTCAGGCCCTGGATAGAATGATACTGTATCTAAGGGTGGTGCACTCTTTCGATTACTATGTATCGAGCGAGTATACGAGTGAAGATATCATGCCGCACGTCTGTGGTATCATTCATGTCAGAGCTCTGAGACCCAATCATAAAGTTACTCAGAGTGACGGTTGGTCGGTTGGTTGGTTGGTTGGTCGGTCGGTTGATTGGTCCATTGATTGATTGGTTATTATTATTATTATTATAATTATTATTATTATTATCCCCCAGTGAACGAGTGGATGAGTGGATTGGATAAGAAGTTGTCGACGTATATGAACGAAGGAATGTACATACCTGATGACCTGTATGCTAAAGTGTCCAGGCATTACGATGCATATCCTTTGTTGTTGTTGTTGTTGTTGTTGCTGTTGTTGCTGTTGTTGCTGTTGTTGTTACTGTTGTTGTTGTTGTTGTTGTTCGGGTTTATTATTATTATTATGGTGATTATTATGATGATATTGATGCCTGTTCTCTGCTGTCTTTGGTGTTTTTAGTTTTTTAGTAATAATGATGATGATGACTGTGATGATTACGATGATAATGGCTCTGACAATGACGTTGTTCTTGACCTTGACCTTGATCCGACACTGAGGTCAGCAAGTTCATCAAAGCCAATACCATTGAACTGGCCAAGGATAAATGGCTCTGTCCTCTCAGTGGGAAGAAGTTTAAAGGTTGGCTGGCTGGTTGTTTGGTTGGATTGTTGATTGGTTGATTGATTGATCAGTTGTTTAACTAGTTGGTTGATTTATCAGTTACTTGGGGAGAGAGAGAGAGAGAGAAGAAATGAGCGTTAATTATTTCTCTCTATTGATTGGTTGGTTGATTGATTGGTCCATTGTTTTTCTTACAATGGTCTTGCTTTATTGACTACTGTTTCATTTAAGTTTAAACTTTCCATTCTTGCTTATTCTTTCTCTCTCTCTCTCTCTCTCTCTCTCTCTCTCTCTCTCTCTCTCTTTCTTCTCTCTCACTTTCTCTCTCTCTTCCTCTTGTATTAGACTCGCTTAAACAATGAATGCCTTAAATACTATTAATTTCTAGGGGCTGACTTTGTTAGCAAGCACATTAGGACGAAGCATACCGATAAATTGGACATAATTAAAACTGAGGTCTGTGTGTGTGTCTGTGTTTGTGTGTATATATGTGTGTATATGTGTATGCCTAGTTTGTGCGTATGTGTGTGTGTGTGTATGCCTAGTTTGTGCGTATGTGTGTGTGTGTGTGTTGTGTTTGTGCGTTCGTGGGGTTGTATGTTTATGCATTTATGCACTTGCAACAGGTCGACTACTTCAACAACTACATAAGAGATGCGAGACGTCCACAGCTTCCCGAGCAGTCGTCGCCAGTGGCGCCAGCGACGACATCCTCATCAACATTGACATCATCGTCGTCATCATCATCAACAGCATCGTCTGTCAACATACTTCCAAACCAAAAGCACAAATCGCCACTTTTATCGTCGTCATCATCGATGCTTCCACCCCCAGCATCGACGTTGCTGTCGGCATCGTTATCAGTAGCGGCGGCTGTCCCTCACCTCCCCCATCTACATCCGCCTCATCTTCAGATGATGCCTAGGTATCCTTCGTTCTCTGTGTCCCTGGCAAGCCAGGCCCCCTTTAGGCCCCCTCATCCACCACCTCCACCCCCTCATCACTATCATCCTTTTTATAGAGGTTTGTTTGTTACACACCCACACATACATACACGCACATACATACCCATATATGCACATACACACACATTAATACACACACAAATGCACACATATTTATTTTGTTGTCTTCTTTTTGTATTGCGTATGCAATACACACTTTATACACACACACACACATATATATATACGAACGTGTGTACATACACAATCATACATACATACACACAAGCTTACATACATACACACACACACACACACATACACACACACAAGCATACATACCTATGTATACAAATTACAGCCCCAATGACAGCCAATTACAACTCTCGTTCACACGGCCAAGATGATACTTACAGACCAAGGGATAGATACGTTCCAAGGAGAGGAAGGTTTGCTTGGTTGGCTAATTGTTTGGTTGGCTGATTGGTTGATTGGTTGGTTGGCTGATTGGTTGGTTGGCTGAATAGTTGGTTGGCTGAATAGTTGTTTGGTTGGTTGGCTGAATGGTTGTTTGGTTGGTTGATTGATCAGTTGATTTATCAGTTGAATGATTCATCCATTCAGTTGGTTATTCATATTTTATAAACCACACACTTCACAGGGGCTATTACAGAGCAGGTTCTAACATGTAGTGGGTGATGAAATGAAGTCTAATTGGTTGAACAGAAAGTTGAATGAAAGAACGAAGGAAAAAAAACTGAAGAGGCGAATGAATGAATTGGTGAATGCATGCTTGAATGAATGAATGTATGAATGAACGGATGAATGAATGACAAAAAACATGTTTTGGTGTTCCGACTCATGTATCTATACAAGTATGTTTAATGTAATATGCAAGCACGTACCGTACGTACATTTTTTGACTCATTCCTTTATAATTGATAATAATAACGTTAATAGAAATTAATTAATTAGATAATTAATTACTACTCTTAATACTTCTAATAAATTGTAATACTAATGAATGAATGGATGGATGAATGAATAGGGGAATGAATGATTGGATGGATTGATTGCCGCGTCTAATTATAGAGATTTATTGTTTCGGCGAGAGTTAGGATATTCTAATCATTTGAACGTTTATAAGGTCCATAATTTAAAAAATTCACCCATTCATTCACTCACTCATCTATTCATTTTTACTGAAACCTTTTGTTTTTTTTGACCATCCATTCATTCATTCATATCCATTCATTCATTCATTTTTATTTGAATCGTTTGTTTTCTCCTGACCATCCATCCATTCGTTCACTTATTCATTCATTAACTCATCCATTCATTTCTATTGAAGTCGATTGTATTCTCCTCTGATCATTCAAAGAGTGCATATAGGATATAGTATTTTTTGTTGTTTATAAACTTTATTAATCCTGCCAAAATCAATATCAACAAATAACAAAGTAACAAACTGACAAACGGATGGATGGATTGAAGAGTAGATAAATGAACAAATAAACGGATGGATGGACGAGTAGATAAAAGAATGAATGAAGGAATGAATTAGCAGATGGATGGACTGAGGAGAAGATAAAAAAATTAAAAAAAGAAACAGACTGAATCGAAGCCAATGTATCTTTTATAAATCAATTGAACAATCACATGCAATCAATTTTTAAAAACAATCGAATTGAATACTCAACGAATAAAAGCAAGTAAGAATTGATAAAAAGAAAGTAAAATGACGAAAGTAAGAGAAAAACTAAGAAAAAGTTGAAATGTAGCCATTACCAAGGTGGTCCTTCTTAATTATTATAGACTTTCAACCTTTCAGAGATACACACACACACACACACACACACTACTTTATTCTCACTTAAAAGGTACTCAAACAGATAATAATGTTTCGTTCTTCATAGTTAAAAAACTAAAGCCATCAAGAAACCTATCATCACATATCTAACACCAGTGCACTAATCCCAATGAATACCTGCATGTATTAACGTACAATTACCTAGATCCCGCACGCATTCCTGCATATATTAGCGTACAACAACGTACACACACACATACCCGCATGTATTAGCGTACAACAACGTACACACACATCTGCATATATTAACGAACAACTAAATGGATACATTCAACATATGAAAAAGCATCTAGCGTATTATTACATACGTGCATGTTATAATAGTAATTGCATATCATTCTTATATGAATGTATAAATGACACACTTGTATATATATATATATATATATGCAAAGGCTCTTAGCAATTTAGAATTTCAATGGTAAAAAAACAAAATAACACACACACACACACAAACTAAAAAGCTACACACTCTTAAGAGCGAATAGTTTTTGTATAAAAACAGTGTAAATGAAGCTTATAAATTAGGCATATTATAGACAATTTAAAAAAACAGACCATGTAAAAACATGCACGTGTGTGTGTGTGTGTGTGTGCGTGATATATAAGCATCTAAAACTCACATATCATAAAGAACGGTATAGGTGATCACGGCAAATTGACGAATGGATCGAATGAACGAAATAAATGGATGAATGAATATAGAATACATCACATGCTGGTAACCAGAACTAATCAATAAAAACAACATACACACGCCACTCACATACACACATTTACTTACACTGTGAATAAGAAAGTGGCGACAGTGAATGAGAAGTTACGAATCGGTAACGAACTGCATACATAACATAGTACTGACAGCCTAAAAAAACCTTAAATAATAATAACAACAATAGTAGTAGCAATCAACTAAAGACGACACTGTATTAAAATCTGAAGACAGTGTAGTGAAATGTATACAGTTAGAATAATCAAATGTACAGTAACAATAGTAGTAGTAACAATTCCTTAAATAAAACAATACCAAGATTACTATGTCGACCATGAGAATAATAACAACAGTAATTACAATCATAATAATAATAATTACGATATTTAATAATTAATTATAACTATAATTACTACTACATTATATTAGCCCCGTTGTAGCAGCAGATATATCATTATAAATAAGCAATGCTAGTACTCTAGTACTCTAATCTAGCACTCACTAGCCAACCAGAACTAATTTTTCTCAAATATTCTTAAAAAAAAAAGAAATCAAATTTCGACAGACTGAGAATCAGTTAGAACGTGCAAAAAACAATCATTGCCAGCTAGAAATTATACTATAATCTGTAAGTATTATAATATATATATATACATATATATAACATTATAGGCCAGTATTTCAATAGTAACGTTAATTAAGCTACAGTTATACATGCTTCGTTATCATTGTAGCTGGTATATTATTATATAATAATAATTACTTTTGCTATAATTATTATCGTTGCCATAATTATATAATATGATTGCTAGATAGAAAGATAGATATTATTAGGATGATAGATACATCGAAATTGGGAAGTTACGGCCAGTTATGAATGACGATAACTTTTATCTCAATTTAATCACTTTAATAATTATTATTATCATCATCATCATCATCATCATATTGTTACTATAACCATTATGTGAATAACGATTAGGAAGATTATTATTAACAATATAGAGAGTTATAATAATAATAATTATTATTATTCATCTACCAACTTGGCGTATAATTTTGAAAATATAAACAATAGACAAAATAAATTAAAAGAAAACTAAATAAATAAATGAATGAATGAATAACTAAACAGACGCAGAGGGCCACAAAACAACATTTAAGAAATTCTACCTTCCAAGTGTCATTCATTCATTCATACATTGAAGACAATAATAAGATGACGATGTTATTATTACAGAATGTTCATCATCATCGCCTTGTGTTTTTTATCATTTGATTTTAAATAGAATGGGTTCTCCATAGCTATCACCCATCACTCACTCATCATCATCAACAACAATTACCATTCTCATCATTATCATCATCATCAACCATCATTCTCATCAACCACCATTTTCATTCTCATCATCATCATCATCATCATTCCAATCATAAACACAGCCACCACGATCACAATCTTCACCACAATCACATCCTCCTTCTCATCATCATCTTCGCCATCACAGTTTTATGATGTTGGCTCTTCATCATTTTGAGCATCAGATGTCCAGAGCTGAATTTAGGAAAAAATTGTAAAAATTTCAATCAATCAATCAGCTAACCAACCAGACAAATAATCAATACTTACCCACCAATGAAACAAGCATACACAAGATCAGACAAACACACACTCACAGAAAATACACACACACGCGCACACACACATTCATACAATACAATACTAACAGTAAGATTATCTCTCAGCAGTTGCATGATGAGTGTACTGTCCTTGTAAGAATCCTCATTCAATGTGTCCAACTCCGCTATGGCATCATCAAAGGCCTTAAGATGAATGAATGAATGAATGAATGAATGAACAAACAAACGAGCACATGAATGATAAATTTGTATTGTATTTATTTATGTATGTATGTTTATTAGTTTGACTGTGCAGGTGCATTTGAAAGAAAGGGTTTAAATGAATGAAATAATTCAAAAAATAATTCAATAAATTAGCAAATAATGAATGAATCAATAAATCAAAAACAAGCAACAAACAAATAAATAAGTAACCAGAAAAATAAACAAACACACACATATAAATATAAAAAACACAACCAAAGACTAAAAAACACCAACCGATTTAGCAAGCTGGCACGCTTTATCAGGATTGTTGACAATCTCGTAGAAAAACACCGAATAATTAAGAGCCAGACCGAGCCTAATTGGGTGCGTGGGTTGCATTTTTTCTTTTGCTATGTCCAGGGCTTCTTGATAAGTTTTCTGGGACTCATCAACAACAACTGAGAATTATTATATTTTAAATATTATATAAATTATAATTATATTAATACATAATTTTTGTTTAAAAAACATTTATGCTAGTAGCGTCAACTTAAATAAATCATCTAACAAAATTTACATTCCATATCATTGCACAACCATTTATAATTGAAATCCTAAGTTAGGTTCATGTATTTTTAACTAGAAAAAAAATTATTTTAAATGTCATAAAAAGTTAAATTTAAGTATTTTTTAACTAGAAAAATCATTTTAAATATCAGAGAAAGTTCTAGAAAACCAAACTAATCGACAGACCTGCTTTGTCTTGGGGGTTGCTGGCAACCTCTGCCAGGTAACGATAATAATCTCCTTTCATCTTCAAATAGAACACCTTACTTTCTGCACTGCTGGCTTTTGGGATCAGGTGATCATCTAGGAGTGACTAGAATATTTTTTTTGGATCAAAGATTTTATTTTGCCAGTGATACCATGATCCATAATTATAGTCAGCATTAGTCATAATAATCAATGTTAATCTAATCTAATATATAATTAATTTGAATAAACATTATTAATTGAATCATGATACTATTTAATTATTAAATATAGTAACGATGAAGTCTAATTATGAATTACAGTAATAAATGAACTCACAACTCATCTAAAAAAATTAATACAAAATAAAGGAAGAGCTGGTTGGTTTAGATGAATCAGAAAAGACAATTTATTTATTAAATAAGCAGTTTAAGATAAAAGCGAAAATTTAGAAATTTTTTTTAAAATGCTGGATCACTAACTAGGACAACTTGACAAACATCCCTCAACTCCTTCTCAATGGTTTCTCTATAACTTTTTGCCATCTTAGTCTTCTTCTCATTGCCCTCCAACTTCTGCTCTATACTCGAGATGACCCGCCATGATGATCTTCTCATGCCGACGACATTTTTGTAGGCCACGGAAAGTAAATTACGCTCCTCGTTCGTCAGTTCGGCCCCCAATTCCGTAACTTTCTTCATCGCCGACGCCATGTCATCGTATCGCTCAGCCTGCTCTGCTAGTTTAGCCATCTGTACGTGATCATCTTTTTCAGTTACAGCAGCCATTTTAATTTTTAAATTTGTGGCAAATTGATCTAAACCCAAGACAAAAAACGCGGAATTGGCAGTCAGGAAGACGCGAGAAAATCACGAATTTACCGATTTATACAAAATGGCCAAGGTATTCATCACTCATGTATTCATGAGCATTTTTTAAAAGTCTCTTGCGCAAAAATAGTCCATCCCATATTATTTTTTTTGTGAGATTTAATTACTAATTTGTATTTAATGTTTCTTATAAAATTCTAAACTAAAATTTTTACATCTAATTTTTTTATTTTAAACTTTACTGAAGAGCAAACGCGGCTATGGGGTTACACATTCCATATATTTTATAAAATCATTGCATTCCGATATGGAAATCATTGGTTAATTTTAACTGACAAAATAGTATTTTATTTAATCAAATATCTTCTTTCTTTCCAGGACATTGACGACCATCGACTTCCACAAAACTCGATCTTTAACACTTTGTAGCAGTTGAAATGTGGTGATTGACCGACTAACCAACCGACCGACCGACCGACTAACCAACCGACCGACCGACCGACCAACTGACCAAATGACTAGCCAGCCATCCATTTTTTTTTCGTTTAATTTCATGTTTTATTACTTCATAAAAATATTAAATAAATAGCACCAGTTCATAACAATAATTGACTTTTCTAATTAATCAATTCAAACGTAACTAAAATATTTCTTACAAAAACTGGCAAACAGCATTACAAAACTACTAAAACAACCAGATATAAACGTGAGCGAAGTCTTCAATGAGGTCGAAGATGAGGTCACACCTGAACCTAACTTGACTTCGGAACACAGCGGAAGATCACAATAACCCCATTCCGTCTCCGTCATAAGGGAATAACACCAAGGTCTTTCCCTTTCTCCGCCAGGATTCCTGCAGAAGTTGTGCTCACCTAGTCCGTCGAGTTCATTGGTAAGATCAATTGTGATATTGTTTGGGTAATTCGAAGTCCATTTCTGACACGGATAACCTTGAGACGTGAAGGTCATGTTCCCGCGGTAGTCTCGCCCGTTGTTGGAGCTCTCTATGCAGGGCACTGATGGTGAGTTGTAGTAGGGTGGTTTTTGAGAATTGCACTTTTGTTGTTGATGCTCTTACTGTTGTGATGCTGGTTTGTTACAAACAAACCCCTTCACACACACACGCACGCACACAGCAAACACACACACACACACACCGTAAAAAATACACACACACACCACACCACCCTACAAACCTGTGGCTGGGGCCTCGCAAATGAATGCTGCCACCATTTTGTAGGAATCCACTTTCACCCACGTTACCGTACTAACTGAGGTTGACGAATTTGGTGGGTTATTCTTAAATAAAGCCGTTACCCAAATTCCAGAATTGTCATTTTTATTATCATCATTTGTGTTATTATTATTATTATTATTATTATTATTATAGTTTAAACTTGACGAAGGCCAATCGGTATACATTGCTCGTTTGCTAAATTCATTGTCCCGGGTTCGAAACCAAGCGAAGAATGATGAGGACGATGATGATGGGTCGGTAGATTGATAATTGGCTCTGATTTTGGTTGGTTAAATTTAATTATTTTAAGTTTTTTTTTCACAAAAACTTAAATTTGTTAGTTTAATTTAATTTTTTAATTAAAAAGTAGTTATGAAAAAAAACTTAAAAATAGATAATAAACAGATGAATGATAAATTCACATGAATGAATGAGTGGGTGAATTAATGAACAAAAATAAATGAAGAAACTATCAAATGATATGAATTGAACTTCCACTGATGCGCGCGTATTCACATGTGATACACATTCTTACCGTTGATTTTTCGAGAAATACTTTTAAAAAAATTGTGAAAGAAATCACATCAAAAAATTATCCCAGCAGACAACTAACGCTTTCTCAAATCCCAATCCGACTCCCAAATCTCCGCTAAACCCGGATGTGAACCAGTAAGTAGAGGAGTTGTCATCAGTGAAAAAATCCATAAGGAAAGATTTTAAAAAGTAACTTTCAAACTTGTCTTCAACCTTGACCAGTTGGCCGCTGTAAGTTTTACACGTTTCGTCGGCTTCCAAAATAGTCTTCTGCTCTTCTGATTGGAAGAAGTAGCAACTGGCGCCGAATTTGTACCAGCCAGGCTGGCAAACTGTTGGTGTGGTGTGGTCAAGGTCGGTGTGGTTGAGTGAATATGATAAAGTTGGACTGTTGTTTTTTCGTTTGGAAGGTTGTATTATTAATCGCCTATGTGCTGGATTGGGTAATATCTGCAACTACTACTACTAAAATTAATAATAATAATAAGAAGAAGAAAAAGAAAAATATTAAAATAATAATTTTGCGATTTCATGCTGAACCACCCACACCTGAACTGATGAACTCGTCTTTGTATTTGCACTCGTACATGTCGTTCAACTGGGCGATGTCCAACTCACTCAGCCCGTTTCGTTGACCAATCAGAAATTTTTTCGATTCGTCCTTCACCTTGAGTATTGATCATGATCATCATTGTTTGTTTGATGACGATGATGACGATGATTCTAAGGTATGATGACAATGAAACGAAACGACACTATTAAAACAATTAACTAATCAAAACAAATCCCAATCGACCCAGACCAATTAAAACGAATCGCAATCAGCCGCAACCAATCAAAACAAACCACAATCAGCCACAACCAATCAAAACAAACCACAATCAGCCACAATCAATCAAAACAAACCACAATCAGCCACAACCAATCAAAACAAACCCCAATCAGCCACAACCAATCAAAACAAACCACAATCAGCCACAACCAATCAAAACAAACCACAATCAGCTGCAACCAATCAAAACAAACCACAATCAGCCACAACCAATCAAAACAAACCCCAATCAACAGTAACCAATCAAAACAATCCACAATCAACAGCAACCAATCAAAACCAACTGCACAACGAACCAGCATAGTAATTAAAGAGTCTGAGTTAGAAGTGTTACTGAAGGCTGTGCTTTCGTAGTGCATGATGCTCTCATAATCGTATGGAAAGCCGCGGGAGTTCGATTCGCTCTCCGATAGCACGGTGAATTGATTTAGGAACGTCCTATCCACATTCTCGTACAGTATCTCGATGTATCTGTCCCTATCTGGACGGCTCTTGAATGAATGAATGAATGTACGAATGAATTATTGAATGAATGAATGAGTAAAAATACGAGCACACGATTGAATGAATGAACGAGTAGATAAATTAGCGAATGAATGAAGCCACCAATCAAAAATCAACAAACAACCAAACAAGTGAAAAAGAACGCAAGATCCAAAAAAAATCCCACCAATCAGCGAACGGAAATAAAATATAGCAAACTGGTGAACCAATCAGCGCCGAGCTACCTACCTGTTCGTGCCAGAACCCCACGGAATGCAGAATTTCATGAAGGACAGTTCCGTACGAGCACCTCTCGTCCAGACTCAAAACCTGCCGACCCCCAGTACGACCCACTTTTGACCAGCAACTGAAAAGAAAAACCGGGTCATCATTGTTTCCTTTTTTTGCACAGGCTTAACCACGTGAAAGAACTCAATCAAATTTATCAGACGCAAAAGTATGAATGTGTCTAAAGATTAAAACGACAACCACACGAAATATCTGTTTGGGTTTGAGAGTTCTTCTTTGTGGTCGATCGATCGATCGATCAATCAATCAGTCAGTCAATCAATCAACCAGTAACATTATCCTAATTTATTCAGAAAACTCCGCTAAATTCAGTCAGTCAGTCAATCGATCAACCAATAACATTACCATAATTTATTCAGAAAACTCCGCTAAATTCAGTCAGTCAGTCAATCAATCAACCAATAACATTACCCTAATTTATTCAGAAAATTCCGCTAATTTCAGTCAGTCAGTCAATCAATCAACCAATAACATTACTCTAATTTATTCAGAAAACCCCGCTAAATTGACATAATTTATTCAAAAAATCCACCTACCCCTTATCTATTTGGTAGCCAAGGTAATTAACATCAGAGGGCTCTCTTTCCCTGAAACGAATGCAGGTAAGGTTCATTATATGCTGATGGGCTCTCAGTATGTTCGACCTCGCTTTTTCCTCTGGCCATAATTATTTTGTAATTATTTTATTTTAATTAATATATTTTATTATTTCCATGAATTCATATCTTATTTTAATTATTATATTTTATTATTTCTATAAATTTATAATTGATTTTAGTTGTTATATTTTATTATTTTTAAATATATATATATATATATATATATATATATATATATATATATATATATATATATATATGGCCTTCAAAAAACAGATCAACAGCAGACTAACACCCACACACTGGGGGCACTAGATCAGGAATAATAATAATAACAATAATAATAATAATAATAATATAATACATTTAAATAATAATAATAATACATTTAAATAAAAATATTAACATAAATGTCAAACTTATTTTTGTTGAAATCGTGTATGGGATGGTGGCGTTAGGCCAGAGTTTAGTTGGCGGGAAAACTATCGCTCTTTTGGCACGCTTTTGAGGTAGTTGTTGATGACGTAACTGCTGTTGTTGTTGACGTAATTGTTGTAGTTGTGGTTGTTGTTGTTGATGACGTAATTGTTGTTGTTGTGGTTTTAGTTGTTGTTGTGGTCGTAGTTGTTGTTGTTGGTGACGTAATTGTTGTTGTTGTGGTTTTAGTTGTAGTTGTGGTTGTAGTTGTGATTGTTGTTGTTGTGGTTGTAGTTGTGGTTGTAGTTGTGGTTGTAGTTGTGGTTGTTGTTGGTGACGTAATTGTTGTTGTTGTAGTTGTTGCTGTGGTAGTTGCGTTGTTTTTGTTGATTCCAACATTTTCAAGATCTTCCGATACTGCCTGTCAATTATAGGCTGCAGAGCTTTCCGCTGCTGCTCGTCCAGGACTATGTCTCCGTTGAAGAACTTGTAAGCTTTGACTGAATGAGTGAATGAATGAATAAATGAATGAATGAATGAATTAATTAATTAATGAACAAAGTTATTGAATAAATGAAAAACTGAATGAATCAATCAAGAAACGAAGAAAGATAAGCCATACATAGGCTGACGATCATGACGCTACGCATAGGGCGCTCCAAAAATGACCTCATCATCGTCATGATCAAAAATGAACAAACAAACAAACAAACTAACTAACAAACAAACTAACAAACAAACAAACGAAGAATCAATAAACAATCAAGCAAACATAGAACAAATGACCATTTTTTAAAGGTAAGCTTTTCAACAGACTTTTGTTTCTTTGTTTTTGTGTTTCCTCTTGCTGATGTTGATCATCCTCCGTATCATCACCACACAATGATTCTGGACATATATCTGTTATTATTGTTGATGATGATGATGATAATAGTGATGATGATGATGATAATGAGGGTAATGATAATGATAATGATGATGATAATAGTGATGATGATGATGATGATAATAGTGATGATGATGATGATGATAAAAGGGTAATGATGATGATGTGATACTGATAGACAATAATATAAACACTCATACATCAAATTATGATGGTGATGATGACGATGGTGATTGATGATGGTATTGATAATGATGATGATGATGACGACGGTGATGATGATGATATTTGATTTAGTAACGTCATCACAGACTTATGTTGGCCTGCCAGGGGTTCAACCATTCTTCGTTACCATCATTTGGCGATGACGTCACAGAGGATGATGATGATGACGTCACAAATGGTGGCGATGATGATGATGCTGATGATGTGGTTGGTTTGGTATTGTCATTTAGATTTTTGGAGATTTCTCTTCGGTGAATTACTGTTTTAAACTGAGATGACGACGACGATGATGAGGAAGAAGATGACGATGATGACGTTATCAGTTCATTATCGTTCTTTGGAAACAAAGATACCGGAAAGCATAGATATATATTTAAATGGAAAATTACGAAGGGAATGGCGATAATCGGAGACATGTTTGCAGTCTAAAATGAAAAAATATGAACGAACGAATGAACGAACGTACGAACGAATGAATGAATGAACGAACGAACGAACGAAAAAATCAACAACTGTAACAAAATGTTGAAATAAACACACTTATAACCGATCAACAAATTTATTCCTCCTTAGATATGAATACATATTTAAAACAGCATCTTCGATAATTGCCCAAATGAGCAAACTCCTATACATAATAACAACACAGTGAAGTGCTTGTGAGGCACATGAAGAAATAATTTAAAAAAATTAAAGGGACGCGATGAGGTAAATAAGAAGAGAGAGAAAGAGAGAGAAAAAAAGAGAAAGAAAGAGGGAGAAAGAGAGGAAGAAAGAAAGAAGAGAAAAAAGAATGAACGTATAAAAAGTGAAAGACAGGACAAGTTGGAGATGAAGAGAGAAAGAGAGAGAGAGAGAGAAAGAGAGAGAGAGAGAGAGAGAGAGAGAGAGAGTCTAAAATAAGAAGAAACGTTAAAAAGTGAGAAGAAACGATAAAAGGAAAGAAAGAAAAAAGCGGGGAGGAGGTGAGAGAAAGAGAGACAGAGAGTGAGAGTTAGAGATAGTGAGTGAGAGAGAAACAGAGAGAGTTATAGCAAAGAGTAAAACCTTAAGATCACCTCACGAGTTTAAGGCTGCAAAATTATGATGATAATTAAATGTAATTAAGACGTTCTCTTCATCGTAGCCTTCATCTTCATCTTGTTATTATTATTATTATTATTATTGCTTACATTAAGTGGTCTTGCTTACATGTTCCTAATATTATTATTATTCTTATTTTTCTTCCTGTTATTAGCTTCAAATGGCGCTTGGTAATCCTTAATGAATGAATGAGTGAATGAGCGAGTGAAGAAATTAATTAACAAATAAAAGTAGCAAACGAAGGAAACGAATGAACAAATAAACGAACGAACGAACCGAAATAACGGCACCAACACTTCAAACAATCTTAAAACCACCCTCATTGAATTTACACACAGGTGAGTAAGTAAGAGAATGACACAAAAGTCAGGCAATTTGCTGGTTACAATTGTCTTTCAGAGATATCACAGACACACAAACACACACACACCCAGAGACACACAAACACACACACACCCAGAGACACACAAACACACACACACACACACAGAGACACACAATTACACATACACACAAACGAGTGAAAAAGATAGACTTGTTTGAACGGCATTTAGTGAGAAGCCCTCTCATCACGTCAAAACCGAGCTGTTCATCAATAACAAAAATTAAAGATTCTCATCAAAAATCTTAGCCTTGCATGTATATCAAATCGCTTAGTTATATATAGATAATCCTATCAAGTATCTACCTACTTATTGAATTATCATCCAACTTATGATATCTTAAAGTGTGTAGGAACCGTGTATTTGTTGGATTCAGACTCCTTCAGTCAAGCATAGCTGTGCATAAGGTAAGAGTTTGGAAATCGGCCAACAGACTGGCAGGACGTATCTTTAAAATCTTTATAACTTACCTTGTTATAAAATTGAAGAGCCCAAGTCAACACCGCATTGTAATAATAATGATAATTTTTTTACCTTAGGGACACATCCAACTACCCACTACTGTACCGACGGAACCCTGGCGATACGACGCTTATATTTAACCTTTTATTTCACCAAATCAAATCAGAGAAAACAGAATCAATGAAATGAAATGATTTGGAAACCAAAGAGAATTGTTCTTGTAACGGTCACCAGTAACTTAATTAATAATATTAATCCCCGGTCTATACACTTCAGATTTTAATTAACATCACCTCAAAGATATCCTTTAATTAAGTCATAGCCTTTAGCTACCCGTGAAATTAAATTACTCTCAAACATAGAAAGAAGTTGTAACGGATGAAATTGAAAAATGGCGCTCAACTAATGTGATACACGTATGTGATGCATGCATGTGATGCATGTATGTGATGCATGCACGTGATGCATGTACGGGATGCATGTATGTATGTATGCATGTGTGAATTCAACACGTAGATGCAAACAGGTTGAAAGAGGTTAAACGTATGCTGTCCACCAATCCGAATACATTAATGTTGAATGTTTTTTTTATCTGTCCTACCTACAATTTAAATTATCCCTATCTAGCTTACCCAAAATTAAAATTACTAATTCTAATGAAATGTGTCTGTGAATGGATTTGTATTGAATAAATGCATCTCAAAAGCAAAAAGTATTAAAATAATGATAATGGTAACTTAGTCCCTAGCTTACCTATGTTTAGCTGAGACCAAACCTTAGCTTACCTATGTTTGATTAGCTTAGCTCAGTCCCTAATGTTTAGCTGAGACCAAACCTTAGCTTACCTATGTTTGATTAGCTTAGCTCAGTCCCTACTATAACTATGTTCAAATAATTCAGCTCAGATCTTAGCTCACCAACTACGTTCAATTAGCTCGGCTCAGATCTTAGCTTACCTTCCTTCATTACACGCGCGCTGTTCAAATTTTCCTGAGAGAATTCAAAACAGTATAAGACAACACCTTACTTAACATCAATTGTATAATTCACACGTAAAAATTATAACACTATAAATATATGTAGCAATTAAATCTATCTATTTGGTAAATTTTGTTATGTCATTATTTAGAGAATTTATAACTTTTAACAACTCAAAAAGAGTTTGTTAGCTTAATAATTTAAAAAGTTTTCAACAAAAAAGTTGAAGCCGGTCGGGTCGTTGTGTGAATAATCTGTCTGAATAGTCTGAATGAATAATCATGTATATATGCTATAATTAAATAAATTATATATATCTATTTATTTACTTACATTAATATGTAGTATATATACGTATATGTATGTAGAATCATAAAAGTTTAAATTTTTTAAAGTGTTTTTGTAGTTAGGTAACAATCATCATCGGTATTGCAATGGAATTACAAAGTTTTTAAAATGTCAAGGTTGGTTCCTTCCTTTGGTATAGTCAGTCAGTCGGTCAGTCAGCCAGCCAGCCAGCCAGCCAGCCAGTCAGTCAGTCAGCCAGCCAGTCAGTCAGCCAGCCAGTCAGTCAATCAATCAATCAACCAATCGACCAATCAATCAACCAAATTGAATGAACAAAATAAACGAATTATGATAAAACGAAAAAAAAAACAAAAATAAATAAATTGTTGTCAAGGCGCGAACCAACACTTAATCGTTCAGATCTACAATTTCGAAATTTTAGTAAAGAAAGAAAAACACAACAGTTGCTTTTATTTGAATTCATTCAAAAATGAAAAGTAAATAACTAAATAAGTAAATATAATATTATTGAGTGAATGAGTTTGCAAAAATAAATTAAAATGTAAATAAAACTGTCAAAAATTTTTCACATTTAACAGAAAAAAGATTGATTCATCGATATTCGGAAAAGAGTAAATTAACCAATTAATTAAACATAAAAAATTTCACTTATTCCATTGAGTTACAAAATTAAAAAGTATGTTTGAAGACAAAGAGAACATTAGAATAGTAAAACAGAAATGCACAAAACTATAGAGATCAAATAGCATTAGATATAACTTAATTAAATACAGAAAATTTAAACTTTGAAAAGCAGTTAAACCATTTGATATCACTTTGAAGCTTGTTCCATAGTCTGAGGCCTGCCATTAAAGTACTGTTTTTGAGAACGTTTGTTCTTACTACAAGCAAGTAGAACTCATTTCTATGTCTAGATTGAACACTAATGGTAGACTTAAAATTCGAAATTGTTTTAGACGCGTAAGGAGAAACATTCAAATTATATAATTTGTAAATAAATAACAGTAAATAAAATTTTTATAAATTAACTATTGTGAGAATCTTACTTAGTTCGAAAAATTTTGAAACATGATCAATTTTTTTCAATCCATGGAGAACAAATACCGTTGGCACTTCACTATCAATGACAACTGGGACTGTTGCCCCAAATGAGCAGACAGTATATCAGGTAAGGATATATTAGGAAATAATACAGCATTTTAGCATGAAATAAATATGTACGTTTAAGTTTATTTTGAAATTAAAGTTAAAGAATGTTGTTCATAATACAAACAACGGTGCCATGTGTCTTAGAAACAAAATTGCAGCAATCTGCCTCACGGCTTGTGTCTTAGGTCGATTTTTTACGCAAAACGTTCTCTATTTCTTGAGCTGTTTGTTTGCAAGACGACCATAAAAATTGATTGTTGAGTCAGCGAACAACCCACTCCGCACTTTTCAAAAATGTTTTCGTAACATCCAGTGCTTGTAACCAGCGCTGAACTGTGAGTGAGAATGCCAAAAAAACGTTTCAACGAAAAAAGTTAAATTATTTTTACTGTGGGGACCCTGTCTTACGGAGACTCAGAAGCAGAAGTAGGCTGTTCTCTTTTAAACCTGGCTCTGGACAGATTTATGTTACGCGACATCGACATGTATAACACTTCGTTTATGTAACGAAACGAATCGAAATGTCGCGGAACTCCTTCTAGTTACTTCGTTAGTCTTATCTAGGATTGATTATTGTAACTCGCTCTACTATGGTCTTCCTGATTCTACACTCTATCTATTAAGTAAAGCTTTTAACTCTGCTGCTCGTCTAGTTGCTCGGGCTCCTTTCTTTTCTCATATATCTCCATTCAGATATATTAATTGAACTTAAACGCCCCGGTTTACGATCGTCTTTTTGTTCTCACTTCTTCTTAACTCGTATTAAACACTCTTTTGCTAAATCTGCTTTTGCATTTTCTGGCCCTTTTCTTTGGAACTCTCTACCTCCTTCTCTGACTACTCCATCACTTACGAAGTTCAGAGCGGGTCTCAAGACCCATCTGTTTTCAAAATTCATTGAGGAGTGCTGATGAACATCGCGGAAATGGCGCTTTATAAACTAATTGATTGATTGATTGAAACGAAACGAACTTTCCGATATAATAAGTATTTAGAAATAAAGAAGGCAGAATAAACGAGTTAGAATTTTATTGACGAAAAAAAATACTTCGAATTAGTACCATAGTTAAATATTTTTAATTAGTTATGCATTTTTTTTAACTTATATCGTAAACAAATAAATAATAATAACAACAACAACAACACAACAACAACAACAATAATAATGAACGAATGAATACTAATCAACAGACACTAACTAACATCTATTTCCTTCCTTCCGTCAGCATTTTTGATCAAAAGACAACAAAATAACACCTATTATCATCATCGTCGCCATCATTACCATTGTAACGACCGACATCATCATCACCACCATCATCATCATCATCATTGTAATCATTATTGTAGCTATAATAGGATCTATTCCAGCTGCCATCTTCGAAAAATGGCGGGAGATTATGGTAATGATGTTGTTGTTGTTGTTCCGGTTGTTGATGTTGTTGTTGTTGTTGCTGCTGCTGATGTTGTTGTTGTTGCGGTTGTTTATGATGATGATGTTGTTGTTGAGATTGATGATGGTGACGATTTAAAATGTTGAGATAGAGAGAAGAGCATCCATTGCATTCCTCCTCCATGCCAAGTTCGTTGTACATCATGGCCTGGCGGTGATGATAATGATAGCGACGACGACGACGATGATGATGATCACAATCATCATCATCATCATCATCGCCATAATAATAACTATTACCATAACAATCAAATCAATGCAATCACCAATGCATCAATATCATCTTCATCGTCACGATCATCATCATCACCGTCATCATAGTCACAATCATCATCGTCGTCGTCACAATCATCATCATCATCATCACAATCATCATCATCATCGTCACAATCATCATCATCAGTACTTGAAATGCGAGGGCGTCCTTGAGTCTGTTGTGGGCTTGCACTTGGAGGAACTTGTCGCAGACAGTTTTCATTATATGCGCCAGGGGCAGTAGAACTGTGATTGGTTGGTTGGTTGGTTGATTGATTGTTTGTTGATTAGTTGGTTGATTGGTTGGTTGGTTGATCGATTGATTTGTTTGTTTATTGAATGTGTGATCGGTTTACAATAGATGAAATGATCCATTGACTGAAAGATTTATTGCTTGATTGATTGATTGACTGATTGATTGCTTGCTTGCTTGATTGATTGACTGATGACGACCGATAATGAAAGATCATAATATCAATCAGTCGATCGAACTGAACAAACTTTTATGTTTCTTCTCGTCCTCATCTTCATCTTCAACGAAATCCTCCCTCACTCCATCATCATCATCACCATCATCAACACCACCATCATCGCCACTGCAGCTCCAATTCCGGCGGAAGTGGGCGGCCATTTTGCAGCGGACGTAGAGGAAAAGGGTCCGCGCCTGATCGAAGACTGAAGATGATTGGAGGATGGTCGGCAGACATCTCTGGATGAGTTCGAGGGCATTGTGGTAGATTTTTAAACGCATCTGGTTGGTTGATTATTATAAATCATCATCATCACCATTATCATCCCCATCATCATCATCACCGTCATCATCATCACCATGATCATCATCACCATGACCACCATGATCATCATCATCATCATCACAACTACTATCACAACCTGATAGTGAGCCAGGTGTAATGTGGCCATGGCACCTAGGTAGTGATAATGATATTTGTTGGTGAGCTGTAGAGCTTTTATGATTGGCTGGGTGGTCGACGACGACGGATCTGATTGGCTGGTGGTGGAACAGAGGCTCTTCAGAAGGAGGCATCTAATTGGTCGGAGTATTGTTGTGTGTGTGTGTGAGTGTACGTGTGTGAATTAATGGGAGAGAGAGAGAGAAAAAAAAAGAAAGAGATGTTGACAAGTCGTGCAAATAAATATAAAAAAAACCCGACCTGATTAAAAGATGATTGACATGCACTGAATATGACCTATTTTTGCAGCGACCAATGAGAACGTCAACCAGTTGCAGGCACTTGTGTGATTGGCCAGTCTCAAAATAGTACAAGCAGCGGCTGTTTGTAAGCGGAAACAGAACGAAAGGGTTAAAATTTAAAGGTCATGGTCATCATGATCATCATCGCCAACAAATAATAATAAAATTTTTTAAATTTTTACTATTTAATTTTATTAAAATTAATATAAATAATGTGAAAGTAACCGACCAATAAGAGCTTTCCAATCCGTTCACGTGAGCGATACTCTGAATGGCCTTTTCCGATTGGCTAAACTCTCCGCGCCTCAGTGATATCTCAAATGTGATTCGCTGATGCCAGAACATCCAAATGTGTGAGTAGTTGCTCATCTGGGGAAATCTACTCTTCACCATATTCATCAACTCATCCACAAGGGGGTAGCTGCCCTGGTGATGATGATGATGATGGTGGTGATGATGATCGTGATGGTGGTGATGATGTTTATTATCATTGTATCATCACATCAGCATCACCACTATAATCATCAGCAACTTCATCATCTTCATTATCATCACCAACTTCATCATCATCACCAACTTCATCATCATCACCAACTTCATCATCATCATCACCAATTTCACCATCATCATCACCAATTTCACCATCATCATCATCACCAACTTCATCATCATCACCACCATCAGCACCACCTGTTCAGTAAGCATCCAGCAGAGGTGGCACAAAGCCAGACACTCACTCTCTCCATTCTGATAGACAGTGGGCGTTGTTTGAAGGGTGAGTAGGCGGGTGGCTGGTGATGCTGATGATGATGACGGCGATGATGAGGACGACGTGGTGAAACTTGGCATGTTCAGTAAGGCCAGGCAGTTGAGTTTGCATAACTCGCTATTTGCGTTTGATGATGATGATGATGGTGGTATTGGTGATGATGACGATGGTGATGATGATGATAATGGTGTTAATGGTGATGATGATGTTAATTTCAGTGGTGATGATAATGATGATGCTAGTGATATGATAACCCAAACGTCGATTAAGATACGAATGTTGGTCACATGTCAATGGTGACAATTCATCACCACCCACAAAACCATTAACCCCCTCTTCATCATCATCATCCTTACCACCACCACAACCACCACCACCACCACCACCATCGTTTACTCACTTAAAGCCATAGAGATTCCAAAGTGCAGCCTTTTGTGATAAGGACACACAGATGATATCAGTGAGTGAATGATCGGAGTTGATGGTGTCACTCAGCATCATCATCTTCATCACTCTGAGAGCATTTCCGGTTTCCGGTGATGAAGATGACGACGATGATGATGGCGGTGGTGGTGGTAGTGGTTTGAGTAATGATTAACATGATACTGATGAAGAAGAAGATGATGGCGATGATGAAGATGATGACGATGAAGATGATGGTGATGATGAAGAAGATGATGAACCTGATGACGATGAAGATGATGAAGAAGAAGAAGAAGATGATGACCATGATAATGAAAAAGAAGAAGATGATGGTGATGATAATGATGAACATGACGACGATGAAGATGATGAAGAAGATGATGATGATGAAGATGATGGTGATGATGAAGAAGATGATGAACCTGATGAGGATGAAGATGATGATGAAGAAGATGATGATGATGATAAACATGACGACGATGAAGAAGATGATGATGATGAAAAAGAAGAAGATGATCATAACAGTAATGAGGAAGAAGATGACGATGACGACTAACATTTCCGGCTTGGCGCCATTGAAGTAAGCATGCTTGGCGTACGATTGGCAGGCCAACGAGGTCAGCTCCTAACAACAACAACAACAACAGCAATAATAACAATAAGAAGAAGAAGAAGAAGAAGATGATGAAAAAGGAGAAGAAGAAAAAAAAAGGTGATGAAGAAGAAGAAAATGATGAAGAAGAAGAAGAAGAAACAGAGAAAAATACAAACAGGCAATTCGAATTCCCTAGAGGATCTGATTAGTTTGTCGAGTGTGTATCCAACATCATTGCCAACATCGTCGTCGTTGTTGTTGCTGTGAATGATGACGTTGTTGTGGCTACTGCAGCAGCTGCTGACGTTGTTGTGGCTGATTATGATGCCGCACTCGTTTATCCTCTCGCCGCTGCAATCCTCCATTCCGAGTTTTTGAAGCCAGCTCTGATTGGTTGGATGGTTGTGTGGGGAGATGCGATTGGTTGGATGGTTCAATCAACCAGCTAATCAACCAGCCAGCCAACCAACCAACCAACCAACCAACCAACCATCCAACCAGCCAACCAACCATCCAACCAACCAACCATCCAACCAACCAACCAACCAACCAACCATCCAACCATCCAGCCAACCATCCAACCAACCAACCAGCCAGCCAGCCAGCCAGCCAGCCAACCAACCAACCAACCAACCAACCAACCAACCAACCAACCAACCAACCAAGGCATGTTGTAGGCAGACAGAATCATTCGTTTGTTGGGCAATCTTAATTGCTTCTTTTATGGCCAACTTGGCATCGTCTCTGAAATAATAATAACTATAATAATAATAATAATAACTATAATAATAATAATAACTATAATAATAATAATAACTATAATAATAATAATAATAACTATAATAATAATAATAACTATAATAATAATAAAAACTATAATGATAATAATAACTATAATAATAATAATAATAACTATAATGATAATAATAATAATTTGAACTCTTTTATTATTGCAGAAGACATAAAATCAAATCAAAATAGATAAAATGAAATAAAATAAATTGTTAATATTGTAATAAATTGTTAATATTGTTATGCACGATACTCCCATGCTAATAATAATAATAATAATAATAATAATAATAATACATCATCATCACCACCACCACCATCGTCATCATCATCATCACAACCTGTGGCTAAATCTGTACTCTGTGGCGGCCAGATTCAAGGCAGCAAATCTTGGATGAATGATTGAATGGATGAATGAATGAATGATTGATTGATTGGATGAATGAATGAATGACTGATTGAATGAATGAATGAATGAACAGAAACATAAATGAACAAATGAATGAACGATGAATAAATGAATAGATAAACGAAAGACTAAAGTAATGAACTAATGAATGAATGAAAAAATAATGTATTAAATGAATGAATGAACGAACGAACGAATGAATGAATGAAAGAAAAAAAATCACCTATAACCCCTGTGGTTAGCCATATCATCCAAATCCTACGAAATATATTTTTGTCATCACCATCATCATCACCTTCATCATCATCGCCATCATCATCATCCTCATCATCATCACAATCATAACCTTGTTATTCTTGCTACTATTACCAGCACCACCACCACCACTACTACTACTACTACTATTAGTACTGGGGCAGCAGAGGTTTCTGTCAAAGTAGTTGTAGAGGCAGTTCATGGTTTCGTTGTACTCTCGCACCCTCAGAAAATTCATAAACTTCAGGTAGTGCTGTTATGATAATGATGATGATCATATTAAGATTCTTATCGTTATTATTATGTCATAATCATGTTATTATTATTATTTTATAATTATAATTATGTTATAATTATAATCATCATAGTTGTTGTTTTTATTGATATAGTATCATTATTATTATCATTATCGTCATCAATAAATCTCAAGACCGTCGCAATACATTATATCATGCTATATCATCTTAATGGCCATCACAATCATCACCACCCTCACCATAGTTATCATCGTCGTCATCATCGTCGTTATCATCATCATCATCGTCGTAAACACCATCACCACCATCACCACCATCATCACTATCATCATCATCTCCATCATCTTCATCATCATCATCATTAGCACCAACGGCTTCAGGGAACTCGTTGTTGGGCGTTAGTAACTCATTCAACTTCTTGTGAAGCTCCTTCGGTGGCAAAGCATACAGTTCGTTGCTACTTAACAAGTTGGCCTTGGTGATGATGACGATGATGATAATGATGACGATGATGATGATTGTGACGGCGATGATGATGATGATTATGGCGATGACGATGGTTATGACGATCTTGATTGCAATTCATTTAAAGGATGATGGTAATGATGATGATAGCAATGATGATGGTGATGATGATGATGACAGACTTGCTGGGTGATGAATTGATCAGCCTGCCTGTGTGAATATCTTTTAAGAACCCTGCGAAGTGATAATACAACAACACACGTTTAGACGACATTTTCCCCGAGATCGGGGGTTGCGAAGTGATAATAATACTAACATAAACCAATCAGAATAATTCTACAAAATTTGTTAAAAAATGATTACAGTGACCATCATCACAACTTACGGCAAGCCATCATCATCATCTTCCTCCTCTCCTCCACCCCCGACCCCACCGGGGCAAACACTTTCAAACTTATCCCCACCACCAGAATCCTGCCTGCCAATTAAATCACTGTGACATTCTAGACTCCTGGCCCTGAAATCCAGCCGGCCAATCACATCGCTCCAATTTTCTAGACCACGCCCCCATCTGCTGTTACTTAGGAATGACTCCTCCCCCATCTTGTGGTCGGCAATCTCGGACAGTTGATTGACGTTTAGAGCCCGCCTGTACATGCTGTTGAGTTTTTTGTAGAGTTTAGATATCTCTGCAAAGGATAATTTCTCGAAGGATAACTTCATCCGACGAACGAAGATACCTGAGATGGATGGATGGATATATGGATGGATATATGGATGGATATATGGATGGATGGACAGACGATTAGATGGATGAAATGATGGATAGATATCAGAATAAACGAATAAACAGATAAGTTGATTGGATTGATAGATGAATGAATGATTGGATAGACAAAAAAGAATGAGACTGACAGAAAAATAATCCAAGAAATGAAAAAATACCAATGCCCCTCACTCACTAAACAGTTTTTGTCGTGTAGTCTTTAAACTCTATATTTTGGTACTCAAGTGAGTACAAACTTACTTAAACACTCGCCACCCGTGAAAAAATTATACACCCCCCTCAAACCACCCCTTCTCCCGACCAACCCAACATGGAAGACTTATTGAGGCAGGGGTCAGTGGAGGTGGTGTAAATGGATGCTCCCTTGACCAGGGTACTGAGGGGCGTGGTCAACAATGTGGTCGGAGCCAGCTGCATCAGGTTGAACAGGCTGTCGGGCCCGGTTGTGCACAGGTCATGTATGCTAATTGGCAGTGAATAAATTATGTTAATTAGGAGAGAGATAGATAGATAGAGAGAATGAATTATGTAACGGATTACATCCTTAACTGGAAGAGACAGCTGAGAAATATTTGTATTATTATAAAAATAATGATACAAATACTTAAAATAAATTGAAATATTTGAAGAAGTTGTATAGCGAAAAAAAATAAAAGTAAAAAAATAATGGAAATTTATGAAAATATTATATCTAGAAACCTTTTTAAGATCTTTTGGTAAGTTTCTTCAGGAAGGACTAGTGAAATCTCCAGTATAAGATCTTTTAAATTCATGTCTGGCTCCTAATGGTTAAAAAAAATTGTGAATTATAATACACTAAGTCAGTTAAGCTTCTTTTTTGTTTGTTAATAAATGAATGAATGAATGAATAAATGAATGAATGAATGAATGAATGAATGAATGGATGAATGAATGAGTAAATGAATGAATGAAAACAAACCTGAATAAGTTTAAGTATGGTGATCATTAAATCGCAGGCCTTATCATCCGACATTGTATCTAGGACATATGCATGTTCTTGGAGAAAAACCAACAGGACAACTTTGTAAGGGCTTATGAAGTCCTTGTACTGAGAAGAGCGATCTATCAGGAAGTTTTCTCTGGACATTTCTCTGATTAGTGATTCTGGATAAAAGTTAGGAATTGGGTTAGTGCATTAGTTAAGAGAAGACATATACAGTTGTATATACACACACATATATATATATACTAGAAGTATATAAAAAATATTACTATTATACATAAATTATATAATATACTGTATATATCCCATATTTTCTGTTTGGTGTGTTTAATAAGTAATTGATTGAGAATGATGAGTTTGATCATGTTTTCTTTATTTTATCTCCATATGACATGAGGATAGAAATAGATGATTTTATTTATAATATGAAAATAAATAAATCTATATAAATTATAAAATAAATGATAGTTCATGCATACAGTTCAACTAATTAAATACAGATTGACATGTCACGCTGCGATATTTATATATTAATAAATATTAATATATTTATAAAATAAATAAAGGTAAAGTAAACCTTTTTTTATTTTACAATTTTTACATAGAAATGACTTTTTCAGAAATTTTTACATTAATTTTAAACTCGGTTCGGCTTAAAAAAATTAAATATCCCTCACTGAATAAACATTCAATATAACAAAAACGCAAATTTTACGTCTGAAAATACGTAACTTTTAGCTAAATTTTATTTCAAATTAACCCCATTTGAATTAAATCTACTTTTCGTTTGTTTTGAGGACGCTTTCACAATCTTAAAAAAGAAAAATTAATATATAATTGATCTATACTATAAAAACCATAAAGAATATAGATTATATAAAATTACTCTCTCTCTTTCTCTTTTTTCTTTTTTTTATTTATATCTAAAACACACGCAAATTAAAAACACTAATACAAAATAATACCATTAAAATTACTACTGCTACTGGTACCACTGCTACTATGAATGCTTCTTCTACTACCATTACTGATACTGCATATTGCATTCCAGCGTTTTTACTTGAAGCCGTGTTTTAGAAGGCCCTATAAACTCGAAGGCCCATGCCAATCGTCCAATTGACCACCTTGACCACCAGCTTTTAGGGCCAGCGTATGTGTTATCCTGTATGCTGAATAGTGAGTGTTATATCAGTTACAAGTGTGTGTGTGTGTGTGTGTGTGTGTGTTTGTGTGTGAGTGTGTGTTGGTTTATGTGTGCTGGTTTATGTGTGAATGAGTGTGAATGAGTGTGTATGTGGGTGTTTCTCCAAAACCAGTTTATATATATATATATATATACAAACATATAATATATATACATATTATAAATAATAATCAAAATTACAACTATAATAATAAATTAAAACATGAAAGAGAATGACAAATTATGAAAAAAATAATGAATATGTAATTACATTACAAATAGAAAGATTGATTTACGTACGGTTCCAATTAATTTGGAACGCTTACAACAGCTAGCTAGAAACGTGTTTGAATTCGACTAGAATTAATGAAAATTGCAATAATAACAACAATAACAACAACAACAATAATAATAATAATAACATAATTACAGGTATAAAATGTTTTTAGCGATTAATAAAATTCTTTTTAGAAACAATATTTTCTCAGCAATATGTGTACGATACCATCTTAACTGCAAGCTTTAATTACTTGAATTACTCACATGTTAGATTTACGGTGCCACTAATGAGTTGATGTTATTTTAATTATTACTGGTATTTTGGTGTTATTATTAATCAAGTTGCTAGTTTAATTAGAAGTATTAGTAGTAGTAGTAGTGGTTGAAGTAGTAGGTGTAGTAGTAGCAGTAGCAGCAGCTCAATCGTAGTGTTATTAGCTGCAAGTGTATCGTATTCATCATCATCGTCGTCGTCATCATCAGCATCATCATCACTTGCATCATCATCATCAGTGCCATTCTTATTTGTTAATAAAATTTGATTGGTTGGTTGAGTTTTAAATTTAGTTTGGTAGAAGAAAATTAATTTTTACAAATTGTAAGAAAAATTTGGCACGGACTAACCAGAATGAACCGACCAAGAAGTAGGTCTTCATCAGGAGATTCCCTTCCACTACTCATCCAATGTCGACCATTTTTGCCGCCAATGGGCCGCCGTCAATTCACCTTACCACCTCTGACGTCACAATCCACTTCGCAAGTGACGTCATCGACCTATCAACAACCTCCGTTAACGAGGGTGAAATCATCCTCTCAGCAAACTATTGAAACGAAGAAAAAGTTGAACAGGGATAGGTCGCTTATCTCTACCTCCAGACAGATTAGTGTTTCTACGTTGGTCCCTTCTCCATTTTTTAAGCGTTCGAGAAGTTGGAGTCGCGACGACAGTGACCTCCTGAGGTCAACTGGCAGAAATTTGAATGTTTCGTCAGCCAGGCGGGGATTGTGGGGTAGAAGGTTGAGTAGGTCGGTCTGTTGTCTGAATGGTTGACTGATGGTTGGTCTATTAATTGATTGGTTGACTGATGGTTGGTCTGTTGTCTGATTGGTTGACTAATGGTTGGTTTGTTGTCTGATTAGTTGACTGGTGGTTGGTCTGTTGTCTGATTGGTTGACTGATGGTGGGTTTGTTGTCTGATTGGTTGACTGATTTTTCACTAACATTTTATAGGTATGCAAACATTCGACGATCATTTCCTCCAATCACATGCGAGCCCACGTACAAACTGCAGCCTGATTGGACAGAAAAATTCAATCCCAGAATTGTGGAGAACATTTTAAAGATTGAAATGACGAAAGTTTTTAATGAAAAGGTAAACACGACGTCCTTTCTTCATACTTTCATTCAAAAAATAAATAAATACTCCAGCTAATACTTTACCGACATACCGACGGACCGATTGACCAACCAACCGACTGACCGACCGACCGACTAGGGCTGGATTTAGACCCCGAGTACCTGATTATCTAATTAATTATTTTTTCAAGGATTTAAAAAAGTTGGCTTTTTTGGTTTTTTGCGCCTACTTCACATTTTTTGCGCCATGTTTTTATGTTGAAAGCGGTCTGTCTATAAGTCTGTCTATATCGCAAGTATTGTTGACGTGGAATCTGAATTCATTTGTTCATTCATTCATTCGTTCGTTCGTTCGTTCGTTTATTCATTCATTCATTCATTCATTCATTCATTCATTCATTCATTCATTCATTCATTCATTTATTCATTCATTCATTCATACATTCATTCATTCATACATTCATCCATACATTCATTCATTTATTCATTCATTTATTCATTCATTCATTCATACATTCATCCATACATTCATTCATTCATTCATTTATTCATTCATCATACAGAATGCCACCATCACGACTTACAATCACGGTTTGATGACACAGAACAGTCTCCAGTTACTGAACAGAGTCAAAATCTCAATTAAATCTCTCAACTTCAGACGGTACGTCATCATCCTCCATCTTGTCCTAATTCAGAATTTAGGCCAGGGGGTCCAGTCGGCCAGTCGCTGTCTTTGGCATCCGGAAAATGATGATAAGGTCACTAACGTGATGAAAGTTGGCGACGTTTTCGTTGAGGTCACCGTGTTCGGGGTTTACAAAATGTAGATGATCATGATGTGGGGTATGTATGTAAATGTATGTGTGTGCGTGCGTGTGTATGTTTGTGCGTATGTGTGTGTGTATGTGTGCATGTTAATGATTTCACCAAATTCAAATTTAAGTATAATATATGATTTAAATATTATTAATATTTAATTATTTATGTTACTAATTATATATAATATTTATTGTTAATAATACTATTGCTATTAGGGACAACAACAACAACACAACAACACAGCAACAACAACAACAACAGCAACAACAACACAACAACAACAACAACAACAATAATAACAATAATAGTAATTTTAAATGAATAACACGTATTTGTCTACATTATTAACACCAAAACGCCACCGTGAAAGATTAATTGCCGTGCTTTTGTTTGGATTTTACAACACGTGTTCAGAGCTATATAAAGGAGTTATGATGATGATGGTAATGGTGATGACGATGATGATGACGATGAAGATGATGATGAAGAAGAAGAAGATAATGATGATGATAGTTGTGATGACAACAGTGACGACGACGATGATGATGATGATGGTAAAAGTCATGGCCTGGTTATTTTGCAACACTGCAAAAAGCTATCTAAAGGATTGGTGATGATGATGATGACGATGTTGACGATGATGATGACGATGAAAATGATGATGATGATGAAAATGAGGATGACGATGACGATAATGATAAATAGTTTAAAAAAAATTTTTTCTGGAGCAATTGCTTACCTGCTAATAAAAATCAGTAATGACGTGATTAAAAAAACGTCACTTATATATTGACACACACACACACACACACAAACACACACACATGCACAAACACACACACACACACACACATATATATATATATATATACATTTAGATTTACGACAGCATCATTACATTTTTATTACCATTACAATGTTGTGTGAACGTTATAACGTTATTATTGTGTGAATTAATTAAAATTATTATTTTTCATTTTGTTGTTGGACAATTACCTTGCAAGTGCATTACTACTACTACTACTACTACTACTACTACTACTTCTACTACTACTACTACCACTACTTCTACTACTACTTCTACTACTACTACTACTACTGCTACTACTACTGCTACTACTACCACTACTACTACTACTACTACTACCACTACTACTACTACTACTACTACTGCTATTACTACTACTTCTACTACTGCTACTACTACTACTACTACTACTACTACTACTACTACTACTACTACTACTACTACTACTTTAACTACTACTACTAAAAATGAGAATAATATTTAGGATGGAACTCTTCGACATGTTTTTTTTTTCTTCAAAATATACCATGATGATGAATGGTTTAATTAATTGTTGCACATAAGTTGTACAACCTGCAAACACACACGCACGCACACACACACACACTCGCACACACACATACGTGTATATATATATATATATATATATATATATATATATATATATATATATATTAAAAACTTATATTTATATAGTTTTGGTTCTTTATATAATAGTAACATAACTAATCATGCGATTATTCGCTTTCAACTCAATAACATTGTCAGTATCACCGTTTCTTCGGATTTAATTTTGATTAGTTCGACATTATTTAATTGAATAATTAAATAATTGATTGCTTCTATGTTTTAGTTGGTTGAAAATAATTACTTTAAACAAATAATTAAATTATAAGAGCAATTTAATTAATAATAATAATAATAATAATAATAAAAATAATAGCAATCACAATACTTCCAACCAGAGCCGTTCCAATGCTAATATTACTGTTTGTAGTAATGTTACAATAATTGTGAATGTAATAACAACAATATTACTACTGCTACTACTTCCACCACGACTGTTGTGGCTGCTGTGGCTGCTGTGGCTGCTACTACTGCTGCTACTACTACTGCTTAGTTTCGCTTGAAACCCGACAAAAAAATTATTTTAATTACAACCTATTTATCGAAATATTGCCAAAAATATTTCTATAAATATTTAATAGAAATAATAAATATATAGATATAGATATAAATATTCTATAAATCGTAATTATGACTAATTAAAGTGAAAAAGAATGATTAAATTTAAATAATAAAAAGCAGTGGAGATTTATGACTCAACTGTACGAGCTTAATTTCTTGCCGGCTGGTGTTATAAGCAACTACATCGTAAGCCAGCTCTTCGCTACCGTCTATTGTCGATTAAAATTTTCACAACAACAACAACAACACCACAAACAACAACAATAACAGCAACGTCAGGTAGCAGCAACGACAACATCACCATTACACTGCCAACAACAACACCAACAACACCAAACAAGGTCAAAAAACTTCTCCCACCACTACTAAAACCCGCACCAACCAACCCTGCCACCAAATAACAACAACAACAAACCACCACAACTCTTTAAACAACACCAAGCAACAACATATTACCACCATTTTTTCACCATCACCACTCAAACAACGACACCAAAATGGGCAAAATCCCAACCGAATACAGCCACCAGCAGCTCGTGGATGAGATGGCTAAGCTAAGTAAGCTGCCTATGGAGCAGCGGATGAAAATAGCTAAAAATAAACGACTGGAACAGCTTAAGCTATATCAATCCAGCAATAGCAACAGCCGCAACAACAATAGGTATGTTGACAATGAGTATGTGCCAAGAAAAGGGAGCAATAGGGAGACAAAAATTTCGTTTGACAAGACTGCATTGTTGTTCGATGCAGCTGCTAAAAGTGATATTAAAGAAGGTTAGTTGGTTGGCTGGTTGGTTGTTTGGTTGGCTGGTTGGTTGGTGGGTTGGTTAGCTGGTTGGTTGGTTGGTTGGCTGGTTGGTTGGTGGGTTGGTTAGCTGGCTGGTTGGTTGGCTGGTTGGTTGGTTAGTTGGTTGGCTGGTTGGTTGGCTGGTTGGTTGGTTAGTTGGTTGGCTGGTTGGTTGGTTGGTTGGTTGGCACCATCATCATCATCGCCATCATCATCATCATCACCGCCATCTTCATCATCATCATCATCGCCATCATCATCATCATCACCGCCATCTTCATCATTATCATCATCAGTTCGCTATCTCATCACCACCGGAAATTGCGACAAAGACGCGACTAACTGTCACGGTATGACCGTCCTACACCAAGTGAATTATAATTATAATTATAATTATAATTATAATTAATATTTTCGTTGTTAATATTATTATTGTTAAGATTAGTAGTGGCAGCAGCTGTAGTAGTTGTTGTAGTATTAGTAGTAAAAAGATCAATCACAGTAATAATAATAACAACAACAACAACAATGACAAAACAACACCAACAACTTAATAATAATACTAATACTACTACTACTATTAATAACAATAATAACAATAACAAAACAACAACAACATCAACCACAACTTAATAATAATAATAATATAATAACACAGTCATGTGTGGACCACAACCTTGCACTAATCCATATACTGATCAAGGAGCTTAGGGCTGACGTCATGAAGGCCGACCACGAAATGTGGACCCCCCTCCATACGGCTGCCCTTCTGGGGTACGCCGACATCGCCAAGTTCCTATTGGATAAGTTAGTGGATAGATGGATGGATGGATGAATTGGCTGATGGAATAATTTAATGGTTGTAAGGATTTGTTAATGGTAGAACGCATGTGTGGTTGGAAAAATGAGTGAATGAATGAATGAATGAATGAAGGAAGGAAGGAAGGAATGAATAAATGGATGAATGGCTAAAGAAATGAATAGATGGATTGACTGAATGATTTGATAAATGGACAAATTGAATAAAATATGGGTGGATATATTAATTAATGGATGGAAGGACAAATGAACAAATGAATGAATGGATGGATTGATCGAATGAATGTATATATGGATGAATTTATGTATGGATTAAATTAAGTAAATTGATTAAATTGAATAAAGTTGATAACATAACTGAATGAAGGAAAAAATGAATGAATGAACGGAACGAACGAACGAACTAATGAATGAATGAAAGAAAGAATTAATGAATGAAATGAGTAAATATATAACTGAATGAATGAATGAATAATAAATAATTGTGAATTTGAATGAATTGTCGCACAATGTTCATGTATTGTATACTATTAACAAAAACAACATCAGCATGTTACTTCAACAAACACACACGTACGAACACACAAACTAACATACATACATACATACACAAATTCTGTATATTGTAAAAATTATGGTCTATTACCAACACATACACAAACATAAACATACATACATATAAACACACACACACACATACACACACTAACAAACAGTGGCGCTGACCCTTAGCCTTAAATGCCGAACTAAACATGCCCTATGACATTTGTGCTACTACTACTACTACTACCACCACCACCACTACTACTACTACTACTACTACTTAAAATATAAATTTCAAGCTTGAGCAGGTATGCTAAGCTTGAGCATTCGAAAGCTGTTTGAATGTTAATAATATTTACAAAGACAACAAAGTTAATTTTTTTTATAAAATACTAATGTGTGCGTGTGTGTTTGTGTCCGTGCGTGCGTGTGTGTGTGTTTGTATGTGTGTACTTCCTCTATTCATACAGCTTGTCATCTGCATTTTTTCGCCATTATTCGCTTGAGACAACTTGTTTTTAAACTGCTGTCAATATGCAAAAATACATGAATATGTGTTGGTGTCTGTGTGTGTGTGTGTGTATGTGTGTGTGTGTGTGTGTGTATGTGCTCATGCATTTATATACACGCACGTCGTCTATCGATCAGTATTTGAAGTTTTTTGTATTTTTTTTCTTATGTGACAACTTGAATTGACATAGTATAATAAAATATTTATGTAGGTGTGTTTGTGTGTGTGCATGTATGTATATACGTGTGAATTTGTATGTTTGAATGCATGTTTGTGTGCATGTTTGTGTGCGTGTGTGCGTGCTTTGCAATTCAACTCATACTTTTTAGTCTTTTTGAACCGATACGTAGATATTCAAAAATCAGTGTGAGAGGCTTTGTGCTAATTTCAATGCAAGTAAATAATCATTTTCAATTTGGTTGTACTGCATGTGTGTGTGTGTTTTGTGTGTGCGTCTGTGTGTGTGTGTCTGTGTGTCTGTGTGTGTCTTTGGAAGCTCTGAAGCTGTGAGAAATGATTAAAAAAAAAATTAATTTTTTTTATTGTTCAAAAAATCAGTTTCTCACAGATTCATAATTGAGGCAAACATCTATCGAGTAGCATTTTTTGTCAACTCTTAACTCAGTTAATAAAATCACCTGTTAATAAAATTAAATTTGTATAATTCATATTTGTATCAATTTATATTTGTACCAATTCATATTTGTACCAATTCATATTTGTATCAATTCATATTTGTATCAATTCATGTTTGTATCAATTCCTATTTGTATCAGTTCCTATTTGTATCAGTTGATATTTGTATCAATTCATATTTGTATCAATTCATATTTGTATCAATTCATGTTTGTATCAATTCATATTTGTATCAATTCCTATTTGTATCAGTTGATATTTGTATCAATTCATATTTGTATCAATTCATATTTGTATCAATTCATGTTTGTATCAATTCATATTTGTATCAATTCCTATTTGTATCAGTTGATATTTGTATCAATTCATATTTGTATCAATTCCTATTTGTATCAATTCATATTTGTATCAATTTCTATTTGTATCAATTCATATTTGCATCAATTCATGTTTGTATCAAATCATATTTGTATTTATATCAATTAATATTTGTATCAATTCATATTTGTAACAATTCATAATTTAAAAAAAATTCCTATTATTGCAAACGCTCACCTTTAGCAAACTTGAGAATGATTTTAAACTTGCTTAGATTAACTGATATTTGTGGATTTTTTAATGATATACGTAATTGGATGTTAAATAGATATATCTTTTGATATCTGTAAAATGATATATAGACTGATATGAATCATTGATATCTATGTATAAATAGATACATAAATAGATACAGATTGATATGAATGATATATATATCTGTGTATAATTAGATATATAAATAGATACAGATTGATATGAATGATAGATATTTATGTATAATTAGATACATAAATAAATAAAAATGATTCAACAATTTAAGTCCGGCGATTTGAATTTTAAATAATAAATTATCGTGATAAGGTCAATCAATCAATTCAATCAATCAATCAATTAATTCAATCAATAAAGCGCTCCTCAATGAATTTTGAAAACAGAAAGGTCTTAAGATCCGCTTTGAACTTCGCAAGTGATGGAGAAGTAGTCAGAGAAATAGGTAGAGAGTTCCAGAGAAAAAATTTGGCAAAAGAGTATTTAACACGAATTAAAAAGAAGCGAGAACAAGAAGACGATCGTAAACCGGGGCGTTTAGGCTCAATTAATATATCTGATAAATACTTAGGAAATAATTTAGACTGAGACTTATACATGAACGTGCAAATTTTAAAAATTATTCTATATTTTATAGGTAGCCAGTGCAAGAGAACAAGATATGGAGATATATGAGAAAAGAAAGGGGCACGAGCAACTAGATGAGCAGCAGAGTTAAAAGCTTTACTTAAAGGATAGAGTATAGAGTCAGGAAGACCATAGTGGAGCGAGTTACAATAATCAATTCTAGATAAGACTAACGAAGTAACAAGAAGGAGAAGAGTAGGATCATCAAGAAAAGGCAAAATTTTTTTATCCTACGTAGATAAAAGTAAGAGCTTCTAGCAACACTATTAATCTGAGAAGAGAAAGACATAGTAGAATCAAAGATAAAACCTAGACTGCGAAACTTATGAGAAACATCAAGAGTTTTAGAATCAGGTAAGATAATAGGAGGAATAGTAATAAAGTGTTTAGATTTATTAAAACAAATTAATTCAAACTTGGAAGGATTAAGTTTAAGACACATAGAGTCAGACCAAGCGATAATTGAAGAAAGACATAGAGATAAATTATGAAGAACACTATTGAGATTAGGTGGAGGAAAAGAAGTATAAATGTAAGAATCATCAGCATATAGTTGACTAGAGAAAGAAAAGTTATTAATAATACGAGGTAGTTCAGAAGTATAGAGTATAAATAGAAGAGGGCCAAGGATAGATCCCTGAGGTACCCCGAAAGTAAGAGTAGAGGAGTTTGAAGTAGAATTATTAAGAACAACAGAAGAAAAACGATTACAGAGATAAGAAGATAACCAAGATAGACAAGAATCAGTAATATTAAAAGAAAGATGTAGCAGTCTCAAGAGAATAGTATGATCAACGGTATCAAAAGCTGAGGAAAAGTCAAGAGCAAGAAGAAGAGTAAGATTACTATTGTAACTAAAGAGAAGGATATCATTGTGTATTTTAAGTAAAAAAGTTTCAGTACTGTGAGCAGGTCTGAAACCAGATTGAGATACAGGTAGCAAGGAGTTAAAGTTGTTTAAATAGGATGACAGTTGATTAAAAACTACCTTTTCTATTATTTTAGAGATGAAAGTAATATTAGTAACAGGTCTATAAACTAAAGTTAATAAAAATAGGTACAGATTGAAATGAATCATAGATATTTATGTAAAATTAGATATATAAATAGATACAGATTGCAATGAATCATAGATCGCTATATGGGTTGTTTATTTTATGTGTATCAATTTCTCCGCATTATGCTGCTCAACAATAATTCACTGATCTATAAATATGCAATTTGAGTTTTGAATAATAAATTTTCGCGATTTTAATTTTAAATGATAATAAATTTTCATGATAAGGTCAATAAACTAAAAGACAGAAATAGATAAACAAAGCTGAAAGTTCAACACACCACATGCACACGCACTCTCACAAACACACACAAATAAACACACATACATACATACACACACAAACAAACACACACACACAAACACACAGTGGTACATACACACACACAAATAAACACACACACACATACATACATACACACACAAACAAACACACACACAAACACAAAGTGGCACATACACACACGAATAAACACACTCACATACACACACAAACACACACATACACACACAAACAAACAGTGGCGCTGACCCCTTATCCCTAAATGCCGAACTAAACATGCCCTATGACATTTGTGATGACCCGGACACCTTGGATATCATCGAACTGATTTTTTTTGGGAGAGGTTTGTTGATATTCTGGATGATGCTAATGTTGTGGTTGTTGACGTTTTTGTGGTTGATGGTGGTGGCATAGGAGTTGTTGCTATTAGTATTAATGTTGTTTTGCAGTTGGCGCTAGTCTTGTCAGCGATGATTTTCTTCCTTTATGTTTAATCCGGATGTTAGTATATGTTAGTATGCTTTGATGTCATTGCCTTGTTATAGATGAAATATCTTGAAACATTAACAAAAATAAAGAAGCCATACGTACATAGCTCATAATGTCATATCTATCCATACAAATAAATGTAAGTAGTAACAATGTGAGTAGAAGTAAAAACATGAACTTCATTTCAGGTAAGGCATAAATACGTTTGTGTTTACATTTAGGATTATGGGCTAAAATTTAAAAATTTAAACGTAGCCAAACATACAACACACATACATACACACACACATACATACACACACAAGTTAATGAAATCACACACACATACACACCACACACACACACACACACACACACACACACACACACACACACATACATACACACACATATACACATACAAAGAGAGAAAGAGAAAGAAAGAGAAAGAGAGAGAAGAGAAAGAATGATTTAATCAGTGGTGAGAATGCTGCTAATTTTAAACAATACCCGGTGCCATTAACTATTCAAATACATCAAACAGTGGCCAATATGTTTGGGTGGTCATGAGATGTAAGGGCAGCCCCAATTTTGATATCAGAGGTACACCGAACCGTATTTATAGCACAGGGCCTTCACAGAATGGTTCTTCTACAAGGAAGAAATAAAATGTGACTTCGTAATTTTGAAATTTTACGTTGTTAAACCACTGGCTTCAATTGGAAAAATGGGATTAGAAATAAAAAACTGCTACTCATACTACTACCACTACTACTACCACTACTACTACTACTACTACTACTACTACTACTACTACTACTACTACTACTACTACTGCTACTTCTACTACTACTACTACTACTACTACTAAAACTACTACTACAACTACAACTACTACTACTACTACTACTACTACTACTGCTACTACTACTACTACTACTACTACTTCTACTACTACTACTACTACTACTAAAACTACTACTACAACTACAACTACTACTACTACCACTACTACTACTACTACTACTACTACTACTACTACTACTACTACTTCTACTACTACTACTACTACTACTAAAACTACTACTACAACTACAACTACAACTACAACTACTACTACTACTACTGCTACTACTACTACTACTACTACTACTACTTCTACTACTACTACTACTACTACTAAAACTACTACTACAACTACAACTACTACTACTACCACTACTACTACTACTACTACTACTACTACTACTACTGAAACTACTACTACTACTACTACTACTAAATAATAAGAAAAATATTAATAAAAAAAATATGATCACCACTAATAGTAGCAGTAGCAGTAATAAAGAAAACCTCAATTTGAACGGGGATGGAGACGACAAGTCTGCCCTATTTGAACAGTGCACAGCAGCTATTGTCAACTTGTTTGCATTGCTTTTGTAGTTAACATTTTATTACAGTATTCTATTATGCTGCTGCTGCTGCTACTGTGGTTGCTACTACTACTACCACTTTATTACTACTACTACTACTATTACTACTACTACTACTACAACTACTACTACTACCACTTCTATTGTCATATATTTTTCCTGAAAATCTTTAAAGAAAAATTCCTTTATCATGTTGTTGTGGACGGTGTACATACAGTGTAGGAAAAAAACGTTGAGTTTTGTTGTGAGTGAATGAATGAATGAGTGAGTGAGTGAGTGAATGAATGAATGAATGAACGAACAAACGAACGAACGAACGAACGAACGAATGAATGAATGGAGGAATGAACCCTGCTACTCACTCAGGCATATCATTCGAACGTCGGTTAGTCCGATTGTAACAATTTAGTTTTATTTGCTCAAACTAAAACATTCAACTGCTGAAAGAGAAAAATTGTTTTCCATTCAATCTAGCTACTTATGCTACTCTTACTTTCTCTCCCTCCCTCTCTCTCTCTCTCTCTCTCTCTTTTTCTCTCTCTCTCTTTCTTATGTTCCATTTCTTTTCATTCCTTTTTAGCTGATAAAGTGAGTAAAACCTCATAACGAACGAACAAACAAACGAACGGACGAATGAAGGCTTTGTTTCGTTATATAAAAAAATAAATGAATGAATGTAAGAATGAGAAACAAAATTAAAAAAATGAATGAATATATAGATGAATGGATCGGACGGATAAACGAACGAATGAATGATTCATCTGATAAAGGAATAATGAGTGAAGGAGTAAAAATATGAATGCCATCTGCTTTTTAATATGACCGTGTATTTATCTGAATCGTCGTCACTTGAATTCAACAATAAACTATAATTGCTCTAACATTATAAAACATTTAATACTACTACTAATACTCATGCTGCTACTACTACTACTACTACTACTACTACTACTACTACTACTACTACTACTACTACTACTACTTTAACTACTACTACTAAAAATAAGAATAATATTTAGGATGGAACTCTTCGACATGTTTTTTTTTTGATAGGATAAGGCACAGGAAAAAAGAAGCTCTCTGACAACTTTTGAGTGTTTGACGTATCGGCGATCCATACACAGCTATCTTTGCTTGCAGTAGACATAAGTAGCGTTAACATCAACACAAATTACATCAACATCGATATCCAGCGAAACATGAACAACACATCAACGTATAAACATTAACACTAACAACAACAACAATAACAACAACAACAATAACAGCAGCAGCAACAACAACAACAACATCATCATCAACAAACATCACAAATAAACCATATATTTTGTAACAATGACAATTGAATACATTCTCAGAGGTTACATTCACGGTTAAAATATAATAACAATAGAATAATAATGTTAATGTTAATGAAATTTTTACAACTATTATTATTATTATCATTATTATATTATTATTAATAATAATAAATTAATAATAATAAAATAATAATATTGTAATAATAATATTTACAAGAACGGCAAATAACAAACAACGCTAATAACATTAACACTAGGTTTGCTTGTGAAACTTATTCAATGCCGGCTAGCTTAAATTTCAATATTATCCCGAGTAAAAGTATTCGAAATGATGTAACTACTACAGTTGCTGCTACTACTGCTACTACTACTACTACTGCTGCTGCTACTACTGCTACTACTACGACTACTACTGCAGCTGCAATTGCTACTGCTGCCAATAGTACAGCGATTGAAAAGATAAAACTTTTAAAGTCAAAAATTTTCGTTAAAGCGGCCATTTCATTCAGTAAGATGAAAATACAGCAGCGATGTTTTGAACTTTCAAGCTAATACCTGCTTCTTTCTATTTATTAACTCGCTACTGAATGTTTTCCATTGTAGAAGTGTTAAAAATTAACAAAGCCACCAAACCGTCAGAAAAAGCTCTAAGGTTTTAGCTCTTGAATATATGAAAAAGATCGATTTTGTGTGTGTGTGTGTGTGTGTGTGTGTGTGTTAAACCGAAACACGGCAAAAAAGTCAAATAATTTCGGTATATGGAAACCACTGGGTATTTGAAATGAATCCATTAGTTAAATTCTCAAACGACATTTTTTTTTAAACAAATTTTGTTTGGGTTTTTT